TAGAGAGAGTGTTGCTTCTTCTGTTGGTAGTTGTAGCATGGATATCGATGGTCTAAGTACTGTCTTTTCCAGTCCCATTGAAACCGGTAACTCTAGTGACACAGAGTCATCATCTTGTGGCTACAAAAGCACCAAGAAGTTGGGTTTTCCAACAAAAGGCTCAGAGGCTACTGCTGTTCATAGGCTAGAGTTGGATGCATACAGAAGCAGTATCGAGAGACTACACGCGTCTGGACCAATCATAACTTGGGAACAAGAAGCATGGATCACAAATCTCCGTCTTAGATTGAACATTTCGAATGAGGAACATCTAATGCAGATAAGAAACCTTATCTCTGATGATAACAGTACAACATACAGATAGCACATAATTGTCAACTACAGTGTGTGTTACATAGAATAAAAATTGTACAAATGTAAAGGGGGTTTCATTTTTTTTTTCCCCCGAGCTTGTAAATGTAAACTGTGAACATGTTTCTTTCTTTGAGGAAGACTTGCAAAATACCATGGCTTGATCATAAAAAGAGAATTAAGAGCTTAGAATTCCATAATCTTGAGTGTCAGAAAACACTTTGATGCAAAACAACTCGATCTATTCCAAACCGGAAAAAACCCGATATTTCCCCAATACTGTTATAGAACACTGGTTGATTTAATATGTAACATCAAAACAACAGAGAGAAAACCAGAAGGAAAAAGAAAAATAGCAACAGCTTCTCACGGCAGAAACACTCTTCGAAGGAGATTTGATTTTTTTACTCGAAAGCGTCATCATCATCATCGGGTAGTGGCTGAGCAGCAGCTTGTTGAAGCTCAAGCTCGTTCTTCTGCTGAGAAGCAATGTCGATCTGGACTTCGGGTGGAGCAAGCGCTGGTGACTCGACAAAGTGAAGGTTTGTGTCTCCAGCCAGTTTCCTAGCAAGGTACAAGAAAGGCTTCTCGAAGTTGTAGTTGCTCTTTGCAGATATCTCATAGTACTGCAGATTCTTCTTCCTGTGGAAGGTTACTTGCTTCGCCTTCACTTGCCTGTTCTTCACATCAACTTTGTTCCCGCACAGAACAATGGGGATGTTCTCACACACCCTGCAGAGATCACGGTGCCATGTCGGAATGTTCTTGTATGTGAGCCTTGCCGTAACATCAAACATGATAATGGCACATTGACCATGGATGCTGCAAGAAAATCGCAAAGATTAGCTATACATCTCCAATATATAAAGCTCAAATAAACCATTATCATTAAGTATATAGGGTAACAAATATAATTTCACACCCTAACCAGAGCTATTTCAAAACTATGCATACTCTTAGATTTACTGTATACAAAACCCATCAAGATCGTAAAGTGATCTACTTACTAGTATCCATCCCTTAGGCCACCGAATTTCTCTTGACCAGCAGTATCCCAGCAGTAGAAACGGATCTTTCCACAGTTTGTGAAGAAATCTAGAGGATGAACCTCCACACCAATAGTAGCTGTAACACACAAAATCAAAATCGTTTATAAGAGACATGAAGAGCAGAGAAATTGTGAATGTACGAGCAATCTTTGATCTACTTACGTTCATACTTCTTCTCAAACTCCCCAGTAAGATGTCTCTTGACAAAAGTTGTTTTCCCTGCACAATCAACCACCAAAAGCAATCAAAGGCTTAGCAAAAACAATCAAAGACATACAACAACAGTGTGAAATAAACAAACAACGTAACCAAAGCATTGAAACTATCAAAACCCCCTACGGTACATCAATTTGTTAACGAAGGAACAACGTAATGGCCTGAGTCAATAATACATCATCAAAATCTCAATCGCGACCCCACAAAAGTGAAGAAGAAAAGTTCAGAGACAATAAAATCAAAAGGCGATGAGTAGTACCTGTGCCTCCATCACCAACAATGACGAGCTTGAAGCTAGGATAATTCACGGTTTGCTGATTAGGTAGAGCCTGAACAAGAAATAAACAATAAATTTTAGCAAAATAAATCAACGGATTATGCAATCTCGGAGATCTGAGACAGTGATACAACCCTAGATCAACAAAACGCAATCTGATCGTACC